TTTTTATTGTATTTATTTATTTGTATGTATGATATTTGTCTATTCTGTCCTGAGGACCGAGTGTACTCATCATGTTGGAAAACTTCCCACAGAGACTTTAACCACGTCAGGAGCTGATGTGCGGACAAACAAGGGCAGCAGAGATTTGGCTTACTGGCCCACTGCCACACAAGGTAATTAAAGATGTACAGGACGTTATGTCACTGAAGGGGACAAGATATTAAGTGTCGTCCCATCTTCTTCTCACTGTTCTATTTCATTCATTTCATCTATTTATAAGTCTGAGATTTATGTGTGTGTTCTGGTCCCACGCTCACACGTCAATACAATAATTACAGATATACAAGAAGAGGTAACTTTATTCTGCAAAAAATATTCTTATATATTTTATATCAGTAGAATTTCCAGTATATTTTCTATCCCAAAATGTTCAATATTAGTATTAATAGAACAATTCCCTGTTCCCTGCTCCTTTCAGAACCCCCCAAAAAAAAATTTGTGTACAGTCCCTAAAAAGGAATTTAACTCGTGGTTGCTGACGTCTTTAAATCGAATTAATGAAAAGTAAGATGATGATGATGATTTCAAAGTGGGATGTTGTCGGAGAGATTTCTATCCAAAAACTTTGGGTCGAGAGTTAGAAAGAAATTAGAAAGTGTTCAAGTTGGATTATGGGTAATGTGAGATCTGGGTAATGTGAATCTGACAATGCGATACGATAAACCGGTGGAGTATCGTTTGAAAGCTACAGTGTGATGTGTGCTAAAGTTTTATTATGTGGGTGAATACCTGCGTTCTCTGAACCTCAAACACACTTTGACACAGACCAGGTGATGATTATCTCTCCCACTTCTTCTGGGAACAGGGTGTTTTGGGGGAGGACAGTGTAAATGCAGCCGAGCATTGTTTGTAACTGAAGTGGGATGTGTGGGTGGAGGTGGTGTTTAACACTGAGGGACCAGGAGGAGGCTGGTTGACGGGCAGACAGGCGGACAGTTGGACAGGCGGACGGGCAGGAGGGCCCCCAGGCCAGGCACAGCGGTGGTGGTGGTGTGGTGCGAGTGTGAAGTGAACGACGTCTCCTTGCCTTACTCACAGCCTGTGTGGACAGCATGTCATTGATGGAGTGGTCATACTGCTCGGCCAGGATGGCCAGCTTACGGGTCTGCTCGTCCTTCAGCCGCTTCAGCACGGCCTTGTGGTCCGACTTGGGCGTGTTCTCCAGCAGGTGGTTGCGCAGGGCCTTGTACTGGCGGGTTTGGATTTTACACGTGTCCTGGAACTGACGCTTGATCTGAAGCTCTTTGGACTGGAGGAGAGAGAAGAGAGATGGAGGCAGCTGCACTCAAGTGCTCCTGTGGTTTTTATAGATGGACACGATGTTAGATAAACAAGAGAGGAGATGTGACACGACTCTGATGATGAATAAATGAAAGAAAAAAAGACAAATTAAAGGAAAGACAGTGACACCATCACCACCACACGTGTGCTCACTAATGTTGCATTTGTTGTAATTCTATAGTATTATGAAGGTTTACAACCTAAAAAGCATGTGAGCATCAAATTATGACACATAAGCTGAAGATCCAGGTGATGGTTTAACATCAGCTGTAGGATTAAAGATTTAAAGTCCCTGAAAACACATTCTGCTGATCACTTCCTCACCACTAGTGATCCTACTTCCTAATTCTCTGTTTCGCAGTGGGCGGGGCTCAGTTCAGAAAAGGTGACACACCAATCAAGGCGCAGAATGAATGTTTTTTTTTTTTTTAAAAGGTTGCTA